CTGCCGCTCTCCTCCCTCCGGAGCCCTTCGGACGGAGCTGTGTTCATTGCTCATTCCCTGACTCGACAGGCGGGTTTTCATTAACGTGTCCATTAATCACGTTCTGAAACATGTAAACTTCTCACGCGAGCGACTCGTCGTGCGCCCAAACCCACCGCTCCTCCAGCGGGGCCTGACGCACCCGGAGAAGCAGCCGGCTGGGAATACTGCTCTTCCAGCCGCAAATCCGAGTTGTTACGCTGAGATTACCAAAAACGACAATGCGTTCTGACACTGCGTTTCCATCCATGGAAATTAGGTCTCCGGTTTCCTGCGGCTACTCGAAAGCCACAGCTCTGATCTGAGGAGGTTGTTGCAGGGCCGTTTCCCGCTCGGCTGGGGCCCGCGCTCGTCCCGCCAGGGACCCTCCCGCGTGGCCCCGCTCGCGCAGCGCCCAGGGCAGCGGCGACGCCACCACGGCCACCGCTTCCCCAGCCCGAGGCCTCCTCGGAGCTGCAGCTGGAAGGGGAGGCGGACGGGTCCTCATCTCGGAGGCCTCCTCGGCACATCCCGACCGCACCACATCCAGGCTCCTGCGAGCGGGGCTGAGAGCGGAGCCTCTGTGTCATGGATCCACTGCAGAGCAACTCTCAAGAGACCAAACCTCAGCAATGGAGCACTTGACATCTTTATGAATTTCTCTCCACCATTAAAAAGTGTCTTCTTCAATTGTGGCATCCTTCTAAGTGTCCTCAGCCAAAGGTTTCGTGAAGAGTACGGAGAGGTTCACCACACGCCACCTTAAAATGGAGGTCAGGATCTCAACTACACAACCAGAGTAACTTCCCTCCCTTTTGGAGGCAGGCCCTCGCTTACCCCTCGCTGCCATTTCCACCAGAAGTTACTCAGGATCTTGCAGCAGAAAGCTCTGGCCCTGCAATGCGGGAGGCAGCCGCAAGGCGGGGAGCAGGCGCGGGGAGCGCGGCGCACGCGCTCTGCCCCTCGCGACGCGGCGCGCGGAACACACGGACAACGCGTGCAAGCAGGGGCCCAGGAGGAGCCGCGCGGGCGGCCAAGGAGGGGAGAGCGCGGCCGGACCCTGCTGCCCAAACGCTGCCCGTCCAGGGGCCCAGGGCCGACAGCGCCTGCCTGCTCCGAGACGCACGGGACGCGCGGGACGCGGAGCGCAGCGACGGTGACAGCAGAGAGGCAGCCGCAGCGCACACCCGGAGCAAGGAGAACACCCGGCACAAACAGCAAACTTCACCGCACCATAAATACCAGTCTTGGTGGAAAGGGATTTGGAAATAGAAATGAGAGTAAAACCACAAGACAACATCGGAAGTAACTGAATGCCCCGAGTCTCCTCAGCCGGGCACACACTGCCACTGGGAGCAGTGCAGTATAATAGCCTTAACCCCAACACAGCACCCTTAACCCAAGCACAGAACCCTTGATCCCAACACAGCACCCTTAACCCCAACATAGAACCCTTAACCCCAACACAGCACCCTTCACCCCAACACAGCACCCTTGATCCCAACACAGCACCCTTGATCCCAGCACAGAACCCTTGATCCCAGCACAGAACCCTTCACCCCAACACGATCCCAGCACAGAACCCTTAACCCCAGCACAGAACCCTTGATCCCAGCACAGAACCCTTCACCCCAACACGGTACCCTTCACCCAAGCACAGCACCCTTAACCCAAGCACAAAACCCTTGACCCCAGCACAGAACCCTTGACCCCAGCACAGAACCCTTGACCCGCACCGTTCCCTCGAGCCCACCGCCGCAGCCCGCTCCCCGCACGCTGCTCGCGCTCGCCCCAGGCCTCCTCTCGGGGAAAGGCGCCGTTTCAACATGTAACCTGCGAGCACCGAGGCACCCCGCGCTGTCCAGGGCCGGAGGAGGAGCACGGGGCGCCCCTCAGCACCGCGCGAGTGTTCCATGGAGATGGGCACAAGAAAAACAGACGAACAGTCGAGTCCAGGCTGACATGCAAAAGCTCAGAAAACACAGGGAATCTCGAGAGGATTTGGGCTCTCTGGAGAGCGGAACCCTGGGCATCTCCAGCAGCGCCGGGGCCAGCCCTGCTCCGAGTTCAGAGCGGATCCGCGTCCGCAGAGCCCAAACCGGCCGACAAACACAACCCGTTTCGGCGTTCGGCAGAGCCCTGAGCTCTCCGTGCTGCTCACTGGTGGCCTCGGCTTCGCTTTGCTCATGGGCAGCCCCGAGCACAGCTCGGCCTCGGCCTCGGCCTCGCGCTCGCTGCGGCGCCTGCTCCCTGCGGCCTGTGCCCACAAAAACACAACAAATTAACCTCGGCTTTTTGACAGGGAGGAAGAAGCTCAACCAGAGTCCCTTCAGTGGGAATTTACTCACGTCTCTCGGAGACATTTGGAAGATGTGGCTGGCCCTTAGTTGCAAACTGTGGTTTACCACAGGAGATGCTGCTGGCACCAGACGAGCTTGTGGGGGCTAAATTTAGGCAGCAGAAAGACATATTTTCCTGACTTCCCCTGCGTTTTGCAGGGAAACGGCCAGAAACAGGGCAAGGCAGAAGCAGGGTAAGCGCAGGGTAAGCGCTCCTAGGAGAGCGGGAGGCGGGCGCGCAGGGAAGCGCATTGGAGCGGCCACCATCCCGAGCGAGCAGCACCCGGCCAGGGATGTTCCCAGCCTCTCGCAGGTCTCCGGCGGCTCCCAGGCCCT